TCTAAAACGTCCTGGTAGACGGCTGTGTTGACCTTGGACCTCAGAAAACACAGTGGACCAACACCAGCAGATGACATGTCACCCCAAACCATCACTGACTATGGAAACTTGACACAGGACCTCAAATAACATGGATTCTGTGCCTCTCTTCTCTTCCTCCAGACTCTGGGACCTTGATTTCCAAAGGAAATGCAAAATTTACTTTAATCAAAGAACATAACTTGGGACCACTCAGCAGCAGTCCAGTCCTTTTTGTGTTTAGCCCAGGTGAGAAACTTCCGATGCCGTCTCTTGTTCAATAGTGACTTGACAAGGAATGCGACCGCTGAACCTCTTATCTTGCATACGTCTGAGTGTGGTTGTTCTTGAAGCACTGAATCCAGCTGCAGTCCACTCTTTGTGAAGCTACCCCACATTTTGAAATAGGTTTTGTTTCACCATCCTTCATCACAATTTCTCTACCACATTGTTTCCTTTCCTTCACCTCTTTATTAATGTGCTTGGACACAGAGCTCTGTGAACAGCCAGCCTCTTTTGCAACGACCTTTAATGTCTTGCCCTCCTTGTGCAAGGTGTCAATGGTCGTCTTTTGGACAACTGTCAAGTCAGCAGTCTTCCCCATGATTGTGTAGACTACAGAACTAGACTGAGATCATTTAAAGGCCTTTTTTCATTCAACCTTTATTTATACAGTTAATCCCATTGAACCTCAGGGACTAATTTACAAGAGAGACCTGAACTTTGCAGGTGTTTTTGAGTTTTGAAAATGAGTTCACGTGGCTCAATGAGACTACCTGTATAAATAAAGGCTAAATGAAAAAAAACCAAAAAAAAACCTTTGCAGGTGTTTTTGAGTTAATCAGCTGATTAGACTGTAGCACCATGTGTCTTCAATATTGAACCTTTTCTATTATAATTTTCTGAGATACTGAATTTGGGGTTTTCATTAGTTGTCAGTTATAATCATCAACATTAAAAGAAATAAACATTTGAAATATATCAGTCTGTGTGTAATGAATGAATATAATATAAAAGTTTCACTTTTTGAATGGAATTACTGAAATTAATCAACTTTTTCATGTTATTCTAATTTTATGACCAGCACTTATACATATGATTATCAAAGATGAGCTAAAGTAACCGAGGGTGTATTTTTGTAAGCACAAATTAAAACTTCACGATAATGAGAACTTTAGCCACACCTATAAAAACTTTTGCACGGACACAGAGCATCTGTTTCTATGATGTCACTAAAAACGTCAGGATTAGACCATAATTGGTCTTATTAGTTAAAAATGGTTTCTGATGCCGTCACATCTGTAATCTAGAGGCTCTGTTGATTTGAGAAGCAGGTTGAAGACAGACGGGCTCTTGATGCATCCAGTTGTTGGTCATATGATGAGTATACAAGACTTCTGTGAGGCTGCACAGAGAGAGGCATTTTCATCCTGATTTGAAGAATGTCTGCGTCATGGTTGCTTGAAACAGACATTAATGAGGAGCAGTACACACTAGTCTGAAGTTAAACAGAGACTGAATTAAAATGAACATCTGTCATCATCTGTCAGGGGCTGCATTTCACAATTTTCCTAGAAAAGTGATCTGGATTCACACCAAATTGGTTCTTCCTTTGCCAGCTCTCCATCTCTCGGGGAAATCTCCCAAGATTTGACCCGTAGTTTTTCCACAATTCTACTATAAGGCAGAAAACTAAGCAGTCTGACAGATGTTATCTATTTTTTTTCTATCAAGGAACTTAGTGAGACACATAACTGATAATTAATAAAGTTAAATTCAAACTAAGGTTTAATACATTGGGCTTGTTGTGTTGATGGACCC